AAAGAGCGATTTATAGTCTGGTGCGATTTATATTCCGAAAAAATACGGGAATATTTGCATGTATCAATAGATCTTAAAAATTTAATAAATTGTGTTTTGCAAGAATAGGACAGTTAGATAGATAAACAGATAGATTTGTAATAAAAAATTCTAAGGCTACATTTATATGATGACGGTCTGAACAGAAGAGTGGCGTCGCATCTTCACTTTTTATTCTACGTTTAGATGAGCATTTTTGGGAGGAAATCTGCGTGCATACGGTGATGCAAAAGTACATGGAATTTGATTGGGTATGCATGCCATGCAGCTATGTGGTGATGCTATGTGGTGATGTATGTGACTTAAACATGTATGTGACGTGAGCAGATCTGAACAGAGTTTTGAGTCTTGGGCAGTGTAGATGGAAACACTACGGCGGAGTGTATTAAACCTTTCCACTCTGGAGAGTGGTTTCAGATTTTTGTGTTTTTAAACCCCAAAAATGCCTGGCACTTCTGATCAAATATTTAGTAATTTTTACCCGCAAGCGTTCCTCAATAAGTAGGAAAAACTCTATGGGTAGAACATTGCAATCATCACCATGCTGCATGCACAACAATTCTAAACAAACCTACTTGCAATCCTGTCCACCACTGTAAGCGAATGCTAGTTTGGTTTGGGCATAGCCAGTAATACGAAAAGCTGATTTGGCATAATAGATCCCATTTAAACGTTTATTTAAGTGGATATTTTCCCTTAATCGAGCTGCTGACTTTGTTCAAACAGTAATTCTTCAGCATTGTAAAACTCTTTTCCAAACCATGCTCCAACCTCAGCTGAGATCTGTCATCTGACCACTGACAGCGGCCCTATACAACCAAATGAGTCACTTCACCAGGGCATGAAGTCACTGTGTACTCACTACACAATGAAAGTACTATATGCAGTGCTGGGAAGGTGACTTTTAAAATGTATTCCCCTACAGATTACAGATTACATACCCCAAAATGTAGTTTGTAACAGAATCCATTAAGTTACTTAAAGTGAGTAACGTAATCTGAATACTTTGGATTACTTGATTTGCTGTAGAGAAGCAAAGACGAAGATACTTAACCTTATTAAAAATATTATTGATAAAAGACGAGGAGACACGGTCCACGCAACATGGTTTAATCCTGTTCAATCCTGTTTTAGTCCTGGGTTAGACCTGGTTTGGACCTGGTTTAGACCTGGGTTTAGTCCTGGTTTAGTCCTGGATTAGTCCTGGATTAGTCCTGGTTTAGTCCTGGTTTAGACCTGATTTTAGTCCTGTTTAGTCCTGGTTTTAGTCCTGGTTTTAGTCCTGGTTTTAGTCCTGGTTTAGTCCTGGATTAGTCCTGGTTTTAGTCCTGGATTAGTCCTGGTTTTAGTCCTGGATTAGTCCTGGTTTAGTCCTGGTTTAGACCTAGTATAGACCTGGTTTTAGTCCTGCTTTAGTCCTGGTTTAGTCCTAGTTTAAACCTGGTTTTAGATCAGGTTTTAGACCTGGTTTGGAACTGGTTTTAGTCCTGGTTCAGTCCTGGTTTAGTCCTAGTTTAAACCTGGTTTTAGATCAGGTTTTAGACCTGGTTTAGACCTGGTTTAGACCTGGTTTAGACCTGGTTTAGTGTCCGGCAGTGAGTGGAATTCCCGGGGGAAAAAAAAAAAAAGGATATAGCCCAAAATGTGAAAACGGGAAAATACCACCATGTAATCCATTTATTTCAACAAAGTAACTGTAATCCAATTACCACGCACTGAAACAGTAACTGTAACTGAATACAGTTACTCATAATTTGTACTCTGATTACATAACTCTGGTACATGTAATCTGTTACTCCCCAACACTGACTATATGTTCTTAAAGGTGCATTGTGTAACTTTTCTGGTGGAGGGTCCGTCAAACGCTTTTCTGGACATGTTATTGCTTTGTCTGGAATGTTTCACAGTATGGCATTAAACCTTTCTATCATCACGGAGACTAAACAGACCAAGTTACAGGTCAGATCTGCGGAGAGGCGACGCCACTCACAGTTAGAATGCCTGTTTTTGTAGGTATTGTGAGCTATAAAACCACCTGTAATTGAATAAATGTAAAGTAGAGCTGTTTAAAGTCATACTGTGGAACATTCCAGGCCGAGCAATAACATATCCATAGAAACCACAATCAGAAAGTCACATAGTGCACCTTGAAAGTAACCACGACACACCTTACAGTGCAACTATTTGAGATATACTGTATGTACTTTATATTTTGCAGTGTTGTAGGAATACGAAAAGGTTAGAAGTTGTTCAGTTATGTTATTTAAGCTGTTTACACTGGGATGTTAGATTCTATATCCCAGTGTTGCCATATGGTATCTCCAAACATGCGGCAGAGTTGGTGGATTAAAGGATTATTTAGCAGTGAAAGTGGTAATCTTATGTAGTTGTTGTTTTGCAGTGGATTCATAGCCGACGATATTAAAAACAAACTCTACGATGACGTTTTCTTAACACTATTTTATATGTAGTCTACTTTAAACACCTATTTTATACATGGCTTTTATTTTATTTATGGTTTGCTTTACTGTTATTATCAATTGTTTATGCTATACCATCACATCACCAGAGCATATCACCCCAGGACTGAAGTCTCTGCACTGGCTTCATGTGAGCTTCACGATAGATTTTAAAGTTATTTTATTGGTTTATAAACCTCACAATGATCTTAGTCCTATTTATTTATTCATATGAGCCTTCTCAGACTCTCAGGTCCTCAGGTCTCATCTGTCTCATTTATGTCTCATTTATCTGTTACTTTTAAAATGTTTTCCCCTACAGATTACAGATGACATACCCCAAAATGTATTTTGTAACGTAATCCATTAAATTGCTTAAAGTGAGTAATGTAATCTGAATACTTTGGATTACTTGATTTGCTGTAGAGAAGCAAAGACAAGGAAATTGTAACATAAGAAGTTTTTTCTGCTAAAAGAAAATAAAATGCCCAGTCTTTACTTAACTGTATTAAAAATATTATTGATAGAAGAGGAGGAGGAGACATGGTCCATGCGGCATGGTTTAGTCCTGTTAAATCCTGGTTTATATCTGGTTTTAGACCTGGTTTAGACCTGGTTTAGACCTGGTTTCAGACCTGGTTTTAGACCTGGTTTAGACCTGGTTTGACCTAATTTAGAACTGGTTTAGACCTGGTTTTAGACCTGGTTTTAGACCTGGTTTTAGACTTGGTTTTAGACCTGGTTTAGACCTGGTTTAGACCTGGTTTTAGATCTGGTTTAGACCTGGTTTTAGACCTGGTGTCCGGCAATGAGTGGAATTACAAAAAAAAAAAAATTTAAAAGGGGGATATAGCCTAAAATGTAAAATCAGGAAACTACCGCAGTGTAATCCACTTATTTCAACAAAGTAACTGTAATCTAATTACCACTCACTGAAACAGTAACTGTAACTGAATACATACATACTCATAATTTGTACTCTGATTACGTAACTCTGGTACATGTAATCTGTTACTCCCCAACACTGGTCCCAAGAGTCCAAACGAAAACTCACGGTGAGGTGACATTCAGCTTTTACGGCCCCCGTTTGTGGAACAGTCGACCTGAGGATTTGAAGTTCGCTGCGAGTCTTCATATTTTTAAAGTAAACCTCAAAACATATTGTTTTAATTTAGGTTTTAATTGAAACTTTTACTTGTTTCAACTTAAATTACTATTTATATATATATATATATGTGTGTGTGGGTGTGTGTGTAAATAAATTATATTTGTATTTGTTTTAAATTAAATTATCATTACTATTTACTTGATCTCTCTCTGTTCTTAGTTCTCCATTTTTATTTTTACTCTAACCTTTAGGAGCTTTATTTTTATATCTTATGTTTCTGTTTGAATTGTTGTATGTGTGGATTAAACACTGGGGTGGTGGTTTGGGGTGGGGGGGGTTGCTGTTGTTTTTAATCATTGTAATTTTTCTGTGGCATGTGAAGCACTTTGTGTTACATTTCAAATGTATGAAAAGTGCTATACAAATAAAGTTTGACTGATTTATTGATTTCTAGTTTATGAATTTTGCTTTACCGATAATGGAATTCAATTTTTTGGTATTTGGAACATATAATTTTTGTTCCATGAAGCACCTAATTATGAAATTTGCACACACAACATAATAAAACATGTAAATAAAATACATTTGTTAGTTGTTGCTATACAAATTTGGTAATTACTTGTAATTTCCAGGATTAATTGAAGTCTAAGAAGGTCTACTGTATTGCTTGCTGGTTTCTGAATTATATATCTTTGAGACATCAAATATGCACTATAGAGATCCCTGTATTAGAACTAGCCTAAATAATCTTATATTTTTGATTGGATTCATCTTATAACGTACTAGTAGTAGTAGTAGTTTTTTATTCGGTCATTTTTCAGCACTACAAAACAAATCAAAACAAAACATAGACTACAGCTGGATGGATCATGACCGAAAGGTTTTAGGCTGAAGTAAAAGTAACTTATAATGTCTAAAACTATTAAACAATGACAGAATTCCAAGAAAAAACAGCATATGAATGGCAAGTTTACATTTACAATTTCACTTATGACTTAGAGACAAAATATAAATTAAAACAAACAAAATTAAAAGCATAATTCATTCATTCCAGAGCTCTATATCTTTCAAAACATGACACTTTATACTCTTTTTTTTTTTTTTAAGACTTTTTTTCGACTTAAGCTGTAGTTATTTGGATTACGCATAAAAATAATGCACACAATTTCTGTAAAAAATGCCTCAAAATAGTTACTTGCTCAAATTTCACATTTTCGTCCACCAAGCTTACCCATGGGTTTCAGAACGATCCAAAATTCCGACCGTTACCATAGCGATTAACAAATAAACAGAACATTACCCTATATGTTATGAATGGGAAAAAAGTCCTCAGAAATGTTCCCTAAAGCCCACGAAAAACCCACATGACACGCATAATAACACAATGTACTCACTAGGTTTGATGACTTCTTCCACTGGCTCTTCCCCAAAACACAGCAAGACCATGGACAACGTTATCAGCAATGAAACTGGGGCAGACATCTTGAATCCTGGACAAAAACAGATTTCCTAGTTAAACAATGCTACGCTTAAAACATGTAAACAACCTCCCGAATCAGTAGCTGGGAACTCCTTTGTTATCACACCACAAAACACACAAAGAGAAACCAGAAAATGTCCAAATCTTGAATGAAAACAAGCATGTAGTGAAGGTGTAAATGTAAAAATAGTGCGTTTTTACCTTTTGGGGGGGGATGTTGCGTGGTTGAAAGTAGAGCAGCACTATGCCAGCTTGAAGGGAATTATCCAAGTATAGGAGAAAAAGGGAAGGGGGGGGGCGGGAGTTGTCAGACAAGTGCAGAGGAATGTGGAGCCAGTCAGCGAAAGCCACACCCACCGCGCTGACTGCTGCTGGCTGCTGCCTGGTAATGACGTCACCGCGCACGTCCGCACACAAACACACGGGCTTTAAACAGGCATCAGCAGTCTGGGGCTGTGGAGGGCAGAAGGGAGGGGGTATGAGGGGAAGAAGAAGAAGAAGAAGGCTGGGACGGGCGAAAGAGAGCAGATGGGATGGGGAGTAAGAAAGTATAGTGTGTAGAAGAGTGTTTTAGTTGCTGTGAAATAAGTAAAATGTTGTGTAGGTTTTCTGATAGAAGGTCCGTCAAATGTTTTTCTCGATGTTATTGCTTGATCTGGAATGTTTCACAGTATGGTATTAAATCTTTCTATCTTCATGGAGACCAAGCCGGACCTAGTGACAAGTCAGATCTGTGGAGAGGCGACCCCGCTTACAGTCAGAATGTTTGTTTTTCTAGGTGTTTTTGAGCTATAAAACCACCTGTAATTGAATAAATGTAAGGTAGAGCGGTTTAATGTCATACTGTGGAACATTCCAGGCAGATGACATCTCCATAGAAACAAGCAAAAAGTTACATAGTGCACCTTTAATAAGACACGGCACTGCAGGTGAAAAAAAATCTAAAGTTTTGATATAGGGTCAGTCCATATGAAATCAGCCGTTTTCAAGGAATCTCCCCTATATGAGCCATTTCAGATTTGGCTGAACAATTTTTTTTTAATTTCTAAAATGACCAAATGACAGAATTTAAAATTATAGCTCAATCACTTCAGTCGTTCCTGAGTTGTGGCCCGTTGAAATTTTGGGGCCATGCTCACTTTTTTGGAAGCCTTAATTTATAAGCATGTTTTAGAGACCATAACTTCATAAAAAATAGAGCTAGGATGCTGAAAAAAAAATTGAACGGCAAACAAATGTGAGATTTTAGGGGCCCACAACACCCCGCTTAATAAATATACCCAATGTCTGACAACAGATTTAGAACCTATGACCAAGAATCTACAATAATACAAATTTTCAGCTTCCTAACTCTATTTATTTTTTTTTTTGCTAAAATTTGAAATTCTTTCATTTGGTCATTTTAGAAATTAAAAAAAAAAAAAATTCAGTCTAATCTGAGATGGCTCATAGGGGAGGGCGGCTGATTTCTTACGGACTGACCCTATAGCCACTGGAAATGATCCCTGTAGCTTACCTACATTTACAAAAAAATTTATTAGGATTTTAATTTTTAATATGTTTATGTCATGTTTAATGTTTTATAAAAAGGCATTCTGTTGTGCCCTTTTTGCTTGAGGAGGTTTGTAACTCACATAATAAAAATAATCACTTACAGAGATCCAGAATTTGCCTTTATCCATTTTTTTTAAAGAACAAAAAAATATAATATTCTCCATGGTCGACTTTCAATAGAAATTTAATGAGGTCACAAAATAGTATCTCTCCTCCAGGTGCTGACACTGCCTTCCCGCCCTGCTGCTACAAATGACTAGATAAACCTGATTGCAGGAGGAAGGGAGGGGAGAGGAGATCAGCATGATCTAAAATACTAAATTCTATGATAAAAAAGTGCATTTTAATAATACATGAATTCATCAAATTAATAATCTCTTAAATAAATATAAACTGGCTCCGACTGGCTCTGACAGCATTCTATGTGTAAACTTTACCAAACTGTCACATATTTGGGACAAATGAATCTGAAAAATAGATAGAATCAAGTTTCAGTGTCATGTTTCATTTTGTTGACCAATGTATTTATACTTCAAGTAAAGGGTAAATTAGATCTTACTGAAAATTGGCATAAAATTTGGAATTTTGTCTCAAGTGTCAAGAAATCCTTCTGTGTGACCCATCAAAATCTTAAGTAAAATAAAATTGTATAAAATAAAATAAAATAATGAAAAATGGAGGGCTGTTGGTTTAAATGTCACCTCAAGTGCTTGTGCTGTCGTTTCAAGGGTTCTTGGGACACTTTGGTTGGTTCAGTTCCAGTGGCTGATTGAAACCGGATGGACATTGGGACAGATATGGGTGACAGTATCAACAGTACAGGCCTTCTGCTCTGAAGTAACACATCAGTATCAGTATAGATGGCACTCTCTTCTCCTGTTTTTGTGGGTGTCAGCACACGCTGATATAGCCCAAACTAAAGGCTAGGGACAGCACTAATTGCAGTTACAATTAGTCACACACTGACTAGTGTGTGAGCTGACTGGGAGCTCCGTCAGAATGTCACATGTTTTGGGCCTTTACACTGAACACTTACTTGCCTTCAGCCAACAGAGCAAATCAGATCTTCCAGAAGAAATACTTAGAGGGAACATCTCATTTTATCACCTGCCGAAACACCAGAGGGACATAAGAAGGAGAACTTTCCTGTTGTATTTACCTGCTCTCCCTGAACACTCCTGTGGTGCTGCAGGACACAGAGGAGGGACACTTTTGGCTCTTCTTCTCCTCAAACTGCCCTGACACAGATCTACTGACCCCACCACCAGTCCTTCTGTTAAACTGCACTCAGACCTTTGACTGAGACACAAAACGGCAGTGCAAATGTTACTGCAGAAAAACTTTCCCTTGGGATCAATAAACTCTCTCTCTTTCGCTCTTTCTCTCTCTCTGAAAAAATCTGCTGTATACAACACCAGCATATGACTGTACGCCCTTTGGAAATAAAGTTTCATTTAAAGGTTAGCGAGCTCTCTCACCTCACAACAGAACCAAGGAATTTCATTTGTTTGTCCTTGTCTCTGGGTGGGCTTTTAGTTTCCAGTATTTTGCCTTAACTTTGTCCTAATATTTTAACTCTGGACAGCCTGCAGGATTACTGAAAAATATGTTAATTAATGAAACATTTTATAGAAAACATCATAGGAAACATGACAAAAATGATTTTTTTTTTATGTTTTAAAAAGTTAAAGATGCATTTTGTAACTTTTCTGGTGGAGGATCTATCAAACATTTTTCTCCATGGAGATGTTATTGCTTCAGCTGGGATGTTCCAGTGTGGTATTAGACCTTTCTATCCTCATGGAGACCAGACCAGACCAAGTTACAGGTCAGATCTGCGAAGAGGTTACCCTGATCAGAGTCAGGATGTTAGGTTTGGTTTAGACCTGGTTTAAACCTGGTGTAGTCCTGGTTTAGTCCTGGTGTAGTCCTGGTGTAGTCTTGGTTTAGTCCTGGTTTAAGCCCTGGTGTAGTCCTGGTTTAGATCTGGTTTAGATCTGGTTTAGTCCTGGTGTAGTCCTGGTTTAGATCTGGTTTAGATCTGGTTTAGTCCTGGTGTAGTCCTGGTTTAGATCTGGTTTAGATCTGGTTTAGTCCTGGTGTAGTCCTGTTTTAGATCTGGTTTAGTGCTGGTTTAGTCCTGGTGTAGTCCTGGTTTAGATCTGGTTTAGATCTGGTTTAGTCCTGGTGTAGTCCTGGTTTAGATCTGGTTTAGTCCTGGTGTAGTCCTGGTTTAGATTTGGTTTAGTCCTGGTTTAGTCCTGGTGTAGTCCTGGTTTAGTCCTGGTTTAGTCCTGGTTTAGATCTGGTTTAGTCCTGGTTTAGTCCTGGTGTAGTCCTGGTTTAATCCTGGTTTAATCCTGGTTTAATCCTGGTGTAGTCCTGGTTTAGATCTGGTTTAGTCCTGGTTTAGTCCTGATTTAGTCCTGGTTTAGTCCTGGTGTAGTCCTGGTTTAGATCTGGGTTAATCCTGGTGTAGTCCTGGTTAAGACCTGGTTTATATCTGGTTTAGTCCTGGTTTAGTCCTGGTTTAGTCCTGATTTAGTCCTGGTTTAGTCCTGGTGTAGTCCTGGTTTAGATCTGGTTTAATCCTGGTGTAGTCCTGGTTAAGACCTGGTTTATATCTGGTTTAGTCCTGGTTTAGACCTGGTTTAGTTGATACTTTTCGAAATGGAAATGTTATTGCATCAGCTGGAATGTTTCAGAGTATGGTATTAAACCTTTCTATCTTCACGGAGGCCACACCAGACCAAGTTACCCTTGGCGACCCCGCTCACAGTCAGAATACCTGTTTTTCTAGGTATTTCTGAGCTTTAAGAATTACCTGTGATTGAATAAATGTAAAGTAGAGTTGTTTAATGTCATACTGTGGAACATTAAAGGCAGAGCAACAGCATATCTATAGAAACGAGCAGGTGACAGACCCCCAAACAACAAGTCCCAAAGAGCACCTTTAAATAAACATCTGATTACATTTATCTCAAGTCCTTTTCCTAACAGAGGATGTCAGAGGTTATCCAGCAGATGCTTGTTTCTGTCCCTGTCCCACATTGTCACTCACTGCTCTGCTCTAAATGCACCGTGACCCCGCTGACCTGAGACGACCAGACTCCACCTAAAACAACCTCCATTAGGATACCTGTGTGTTCTGGTAGGAGACCTCATATGGGATGGCAAAGTTTAAAGGAGCACTGCAACTTTTCTGGTAGAGAGTCCACCACTTGCCTGATTGTTGACTAAACTGCCAGTCCCTTCTAGCCTGATTCATCATCCGGTTTCACTTTGTGGAAACCGTCTGACCTCGCAGCATTAGGATTCGTTCACTTGACGGTAGGTGGCTGCTATTTGATCGTGACATATGTAATGGGCTAATTGGTATATTAAGCTTTTCCCAAAGCCCGTAGGAAGAAGGGCAATAACGTCTTTCCCCTTGATAAAATTCATCAAACTATTCTTTGTTCCGGCTTTAAATCCTCGATCTCGGGAATTGTTGCAAACGCAGAATGTATGGCTCTTCGCTGATTGGCTGGTTCCCGGACTCGCACTTGTAGGATTCTTGCAAACCGTCTAATGCAGGCATGTCCAAACTATGGCCTGGAGAATTGGCCCAAGTTACCTGCATCATGAAAAATTAACTTTTTAATGAAAGTTTTTTGAAAATGTACCTTGATAACGCGAATATGTAATATTTAGTGTGTGGTTTTAAGGATCCTAGCATGAATAAAGACTGATGGCTCATTCTAATGTGTTAAACATGCACATATTTCAATAATTTAC